CGGGACTAGCCAGCGCAAAAACAACCAATCAGAAAAAAGACGGAATGCCGACTGCACCGCACGACGCTGCAGTTTTTTAGCTGTAGTAAAAAATGGCGTCTGGCGACTGCGCAGACATCTTTCTTTAGAAGAAAGGCTTTTGGCGCTTCAACTTGTTGTTATAAAGACATCCAAGTCATTTAGAACAGAGGAAAGATCCGCAGCAAACTCCGCTTCAGTCGCCATGTTTATGACAAACTCGGCGTTATGGTGTGTGACGTACGCTACTCAGCGCAGATTGGCTCGGTTAGAATTCGCACAGGGTGGGGTTATTTAAATAGGAGAGTTCCCAGACCCTTTCTCTGTGCAGAATTAAACAGAGGAGGACCCTGGCAGGCCAGACTAATCCCACAAAATATATGAATGGGTGAATGAGTGATATGTTGTAACACACCCTGGGGGGTTGTGGAACTCTAGATTGTGCCGTATAAAAACAGGACATTAAATATAGTTAACGCACACTTTAAAGGTGCATTATGTAGAAGTGAAGTAAAAATTACATCCTGTGGAAAAACGTGGTAACTGCAACCACTTTAAACAACTCTGGAGCTTTTTGCCGGCCGTCGTCAAATTACAATTGTTGGCTCTGCAGAATTAGCTCGCAGGAGACACGGCACCGCCACACTCACTGTAAACAGTAGTTACGGCCCTCCTTCCATTGTTTTGAAAGGAGAAAAACTGACAACTAAAATAAAGAAGTTAGATAAATCTTTTATTTTCTTATTTTTTAACTCAAATTTGTAATCACCTTTCATTTGTTTTATGGTATTTTATAATTTTATGACTTTTCTGTTCTGGTTTTAATCCATTTCTGTTTTAAGCTCATTATGATTTTATGACTTTATGCTTGGTTTTGATCGATGTGAAGCACTTTGTGATTTTCTGTCTGTGATGAGTGCTATACAAATTAAACTTACTTCCCATACTGACCTGAATACAGGACGAGGTTGTTTTTCCATAGGAAATAATTTAAAAATGTGGGGTCATCTTAAAATAGGGGTCTAAGCAGTCACACCTAGATATTTGTCTGAAGTCATTACATGCTCGTAACAGCAGAGGGCACCAGGCTGTATGTTCTCAACAGGAAAATAAAATGGAGATGAGAGGTCCAGAGCAAAGTGGACCAAATGGAGGGCAAGTGAACAAGCTATAAAGCAGAGTTATGTGACTTTAAAGATGACGGTGGTCAGTTCAGCAGAGGCATCAAACATTGCATGCATGGATGCCTTGGATGTCAGTGAGGATGGCGTTCAATGTGAGGAGCAGGCAGGTGTAGTGATCTGATGGTACACCAGACCGCAGGAGCATGAGAGTGAGTGGATACAGCAAGGCAGAGGGCGTCTGTGAATAAAAGCCTCATTTGACTTTTGATTTCACGTCAGCAAAGCTCCGATAGCTAGCATTAAAGTCGTATTTTTGCTCAGTATTTGTTCTCAAAATTTCTATAAAAACAGTTTATTTAAAAAGTGCTATTTTATTTTTATTTTTTGTTTTCCTGAAGATTAGTCCTGGAAAGGGGGGTCGTGTTATAATCGGGGTTGTCCTGTATTTGGGTCAATACGAACTACAATCCCCCCAGCCAGCTGGATTAGAAAGATGTTTCACTTTCTTCCAAAATGACTGAAACATTAGACTCTTTTGGGATTTCCTCACTGATAAATTATATTCACTATATTCTTACAAACTGCACCCTTAATGCATCATAAGCAGTGGCGGCTTATCCAAAGGGGGCGCTGCCCCACCAGTCTCGGAAGAAGAAGAAGAAGATGAAGACGAAAGAAGAAGAAAGCAATCACAATATATATAAAAATACATGAAAATTAAACTAAACAATCTCAACATCATACAGACTATAAATGCTGTGTATAATCTACATTTAAGTGTAGTTTAAAGATGTTATTTAGACTTTTAACACTAACGAACCCCCCCCCCCCCCCCCCCCCCCCAATATAAAGTATAGGAGAGCCTTTGGGCGCAGGTGTACAGCTCTCATGAAGACACGCACAGAAGTCTCAGCTCAGGTCTGGACAGAACCAGAAATTGTGCACAGTTCACCGTCTTGTGCTGTAGTAGAACAGCTGAGTTCACCTCATGGAGCTTTGTTATTATGAAGAACTGGAAAATGATGGAATGTGGCATCAGAGACTTTTGAACACTGTCCTGCATGCAAAAGTGGATTATTATATTTTATGTTTATGTTTAGCAGACGCTTTTGTCCAAAGCGACTTACAAGTGATGATCGGCATGTTGTCCTTGAGGCTAACAACAACAATAACAACAACAACTTGACATCAATCATGGAGAGGAGGGAACAAGGAGTGGACAGTAGAGAGGGGTGATGGGTGCTAGTTTAGAAGATGCTCTCTGAAGAGCAGGGTCTTCAGGAGTTTCTTGAAAATTGAAAAGGATTATTACAACCTTAAACCAGCCAAGGTAAGACTGAGTTAATGCTTTTAACTTCATGAAATTAGCTTTGTTTGTTGTTTTATGCAGAATTTGCATATATTGGTGACTATTAAGCATGTGTATGGAACAATTTTGCTGTTTGTGGTGTGACGAGTGATTTGGCGTTCCCTGGTGGTGACGTGTGGATAGCGCATCTTAATTCAGTTCAGTTTCCCAACCGCAAATTATGAGTGATGAGGCTGTTTTTAATACACTCATAATGTCAACACTTTTCTAATCTGCGTTTCTCCTGAAAAACCTTTGTTTTTGACAAGAAATATGATGAAATAATGATTAAATATTTACATTTTTGACACATTTTATTTAAACATGTTAGAGACATAACATAATTAATGTTAAGGGAGTATTTTCATATTATTTTTTTGCCTGCTTGAATTTTGCTGTTAGTTTAGCAAACCAGGAACGTGACTTGAAATTACAAATATTTTAATGAGTTTTTTTTTTCAAATAAACCATCTTTTTTTAATTATCTGTCAATCATAATTTTCTATAGCAAATAATATTTATTATTATTATAATTATTTATTGTGGCAGAAGCTGGTGTGGCCCACCACAGAGAAGCTTGAAGACTTTAATTAGTCTACAGGTTATTGTTCAGCCTTCTGACACTCAAGCGGCTGCGTCTGACTGCTGACACTCCGTGTGTGTTTTTATTTCTGCAGTGAGACAAACTCCCCTCACGCCGTCCAGAGTTTGTTCTTTAAAGCTTCTATTAAATCCACCGTGTTGACATATTTAACAAGTTTCCTCTATGGCGCATTTTTCGCTGCAGGAATTAAAGTTTACATTACAGAGTAAAAGTCCGGCAGACGCGTTTGTTTATATTTGGCCGCCGCGCGCCGGGTGGGGGGACTCGGTGCTGCACACAGACAGCTGGCGTGATCAGCTCTGGAAAGCGTTGATCACAATTTGCAGTTCACGCTTATTTTTCACTTAGATCGGCCGCGGATTCCTCTTCCCTCGGCATTCTAGGAATCAAAACTAGGAATTGAAAAAAAAAAACAAAAAAACTTTGAACGATTCGGGAAAAAACTAACAGTTGGAACCGGTTCCAATCGATGCTCGATGCCCAACCCTAAATTTTATTTTAAAAAATGTGTTATTCATAAGCACCTTCCCATAACAGATCATGCAAATCTTGGCTGGCAAGCTCTTTTCGGCACACCTGTTACATTGCACCCCACCAAAAAAATAATAATTTCACCAGCCGCAAATGGTGTTTACATGAACTCCTATGATTGTTTTGAAATCGAGTTTGTGTTGAAACACGCAGTTCACTATGACTAGCTGTTAGCTCATCAATCCAGCTTAATTTTACAACCCAAGGTTGTTTGAAAAGCTATCTGATATATGTTCACAGCCTTTCCTACGGAAACCCCCTAACTCAGGTGAAAATGTTCAACTAATTAACATGTAAGCTAGCACATCTTTTGCATTAACTATTCATCAGAGCAATAATATCCGAGTGCACAGCAAGGTATTTATGTTGGTTATTTTAATAAAGTTGTTTGTTTGTTTTATTTTATCCACAGTGATATAATTTGTGGCAACATGATCCTGCTTCTGTTTTACAATCAGGATTTATTATCCTGGTCTTTGTTTCACCACTAGCGAGGGTGCTAGGCGGCCCATTTACGGAAAAGCACAGGCTCTGTATTCACTTGGCATCACATCATAGAGAGCTGAAGGGAACTAAATCTATTCTGAAAGATACTGTGATTCAGCTTATTAATTATTTACGCTGTCGTGTGAGAAATATTGGGCTCTAAAGTCATTTATGGGGGGGGTTCATTCAAAATAACCGCACCAGTGATATAAAAACTTCCTTCTCATGTTCAAAACTCAGATTCAGTCAAGAGAAAGGAGTCAAACCAACTGTGCAATTGGCGCGCACACACACACACACACACACACACACACACACACACACACACACACACACACACACACACACACACAGACAGCCTGTCAACTGCACAGGCTCGAACCTTCTTCTGACAGCTCATCAGCTCAGGCGAACAGGCCTCTCTGTTTGTGTTCAACAACAGCTCTGTCTGCTCTCTCTCTCGCACTCACTCACTCACTCACTCACTCACTCACTCACTCACTCTCGCACTCACTCACTCACTCACTCTCGCACTCACTCACTCACTCTCTCTCACTCTCTCTCTCACTCTCTCACTCTCTCTCACACTCTCTCTCTCACTCACTCTCTCTCTCACTCACTCTCACTCTCTCTCACTCTCACTCACTCTCTCTCACTCTCTCTCACTCTCTCTCACTCTCTCTCTCACTCACTCTCACTCACTCTCACTCACTCTCTCTCACTCTCTCTCACTCTCTCTCACTCTCTCTCACTCACTCACTCTCTCTCACTCACTCACTCTCTCACTCTCTCTCTTTCACACACACCTGTTTCTGGGTATTTGTGTGTGTGTGTGTGTGTGTGTGTGTGTGTGTGTGTGTGTGCGTGCGTGCGTGCGCAGCGCTTCTTACCAGATTCTCCTGGTTACGTGCATTCACTCGATTCTCTTCCCCTCTCATGTACTTTACCTCCTCCACTCCCTTCAACTTGTACTCATCTGAGGACAGAGAAAAAGGAGGTTGATGGTTAAAGCAGAGGAATTATGTCACATGAATTACTCAAAACACTCCGTAAATTATTTTCATCCATTCAGATTAGGATTAAACAAAACACTGACATAACAGGCATGACTGGAGACAGTTTGTCCATGTCATATTAGCTTTGCTGCACCCTCACCTCATTTTATTAACATGACTGATGATATTTCTATTGAGGCTCGATGTAATTTAGCGTAAGGTAATCTGATAACTATGACCTGATTCAACATTTCACAAAGTGCACCTGACAGCTGAGGTGTAGGTAGGCATGCAGGATTCATCCTTTTACTGTTATAGCTACAGGGGCAGCTGGAGAACAACAACAGAGAGATGGCAGGAGGAGAAGCATATGAAGTTTGTCTGAAAACACCAGAGGAGACGGGAGATTAAAAAAAGAGGGCACTGATAAGGACAAAGATGGAGGGGATTAAAGATCGCTTTAACAGCTTCTTGACTGCATGGCCAGCTTAGAAAGCTAAGGCAGTTAAGACGGGTTCTCTGAGGTGCTGAAGAGTGGGAACATTTCCTTAAGACTGCCCGGCAAAGTCACCACACCCAGCGCTCTGTGCTACAGTTAGGAATTAGGACAATAAACCAGGAATTATCCACGTTTCACTGGCCCAACAAGGCACAAAGTCCAGTGATGTCCAACTGTTCAAAGCGAAATAAAAGTCTTGGTTTATTAATGAATCATAGAGGCTTTGATCCATGAACCAGCTGTAGCCCAGCTCAGAATGATCTGACATTAGCGGAGCGTTAGCCTATCTGAGCGCTCCCTCTTAGCACATGAAACTAAATCTGGACACATCAAAGTGTCAGCATCCTGGTGTGGTAAGGGTTGACCTGATTCTATCTAATTTAGAGCTGACTGGTAAAAGTGGAACAAACACTGTTGTGGTAATAAAAGCTGTAATCCACCTTTGCACCTGATGGGCAAACTGGATGTCCTCTAGAACACAAATCAAAACTGAGCCTCCTTCACGTGGAATCCAGGTCAGGACTTAAAGTGGCGTCGCTGATGTGTGACAGCAAAAATAAAATGTAAGAAATAAAACAGACAGTCTATAGCAAACAGAAACATAGCTGAGCAGAAGCTGGTTCCTGTTCTGAGTGTTTAGAAACATTTGTTTCCTAATGGCACATGTTAAAGGTGTGGAACACTGAAAAAGTATTGTATTTATTATTTCTGATTATAATCGGTCACTGAGTTTTTCATGCAGGCTGAACATTAAAATAGTCTCCAACACCCATCCCCTGCATTAGCTTCTGATAGAAAATAGATGGTGAAACTCTAGGATTGGAAAAGCCCGACAGATCTACATCACACTGTCACTTAACATTCATGGTGTCACCCATTTTGTCTCATGACAGGGAAGGCTTTTGTTGGTTTAGCGTTCAGGAGACAGCAGAGAATGTTTCGGGCTAGTAGAAGCTAACTGTTAGCATTAGCAAAGCTCCTCCAGGCTTGGGTTATTTGTGGAGATAAAACATCAACGTTGCAGATCAAACGGAATCAGTGGTAGAGTTGTTCCTGTTAGCCAATCCAAGAAAAGATCAATCAATCAACCAACCAACCAATCATTCAATCAAATTTATATATTTATATATATATATATATATATATATATGTGTGTGTGTGTGTGTGTGTGTGTGTGTATTTATATAACCCCTTCCACCAGCTTAACGGAGGCCCGATGTGCTGCAAAGTACATAAAAACTCAAAGACAGCACATTAGTAAAAAAAATAAAAAAATAAAAAAAAAAGATAAAAATTGCATAAAAGCAACAAACAGAAAAACACAGATTAAAAACAATTAAAATAAACAAAAACAAAACCCTGGTAAAATACGAAAGCCAATGTCTGTGATGATGGGGGAAAGTTAACAAGCGAGATCGAAACACCTGGAGAGATGGAGCTTGCTTTACTGTTAGAGGGAGCTCATTCCAAATGAGATGTCCAAATATCAGGAAATGACACTCCAAATCAAATCATCTGAAGCTACGCTCTCCTCCAGCCGACTCCTCCGTGCTGATGCAGGTGCTTCTGGGCCGCCTACCCTCGGCTACAACTTACAAGACATTCATTCCTACTAGAGACCACGACAATTGTATTGATTGAGTGATCAACACCTTTAACCAACCATGATCATAATGCTGCTTTCTGGATGACAGTTATAGCACATAAATGATAATATGTCTTTTTGTCACTGAACACGTTAAAGCTCACCTTTTGCAGGGAACACAATATAAAAAAAAGAACAAAATTGTGAAAAAATAAATAAAACTAAATTGTAAAAACTAGAAGAAAAAAATTACACAAATAAACTTCACTAGAAAGGGTAGAGGTCACTATAATGGAGGTGGGGAATAAATATGGCACATATCTGGTTGGAAAAGCATTATTGCACATTACAGAAAAGATATGTGACTCAATAAACTGAGTCAGTACATGTTTGAGCTTAGTGAGGTGATAGGCCACACGGTGTGTTTATTATATTCTTCTAAATAAATAATATTAAAATAAATAAAATTATCTAAATAAATGGCTGGCAAAAAAGTCAAAACACTGGATGTGAAACGGTGTGGACAGAAGAAAAAATGACCTTCAAATGAAGTCTAAGATTATTTTTTCATTCCAAATACAATAACACATCAGTAGAGCATAACAAATTCACGTTTCCCCACCAAAAAGACCTTAAAATGTTTAGCTTTTGACTTCACATTTGCAAGAAAGAAAAAAATAAATAAATAAACAAGAAAAAGAAAAGACAGTGCTAATTCTTATGCAAAGATGGTGAAAACTCCCCAGCTTTTACAACTCTAATATCACAGAACTAATGAGACATGTTTAGGGCTACTGCACAATCGTAAAACTCTTTAGATGGGTTTAAACACCAGGTATGAGGCAGCCAGGACGGTGATAATACTAATAATAAAACTGGGAACGCTTTGCCCTTGCTCTGTCAGACAGTAATTGTCTTGTGTGTGTATATCTGAAGCGTTCACTCCTCCCTCCAGCTGTGATCACCTGGGTCTCCACATCCCAACACACGCATCTGTCAAGAGGCAAGAGCGGTCCGAAAGGGACTGATTATCTACGTTCGCTTTGGAATAACTTGCAGAACACATGAGGAGTGAAAGTTGGCAGGAATTGGCTGGAGGGAAGCAAACGCCGGCTGTTTATTCTCCGTTTTTCTCGAGAAATGTAAACAAGTCGGAGCAAAGCTGATCTCGTTTGAACATGCCACCAAACACACAGACAGTTTTATAACGCAGCACAGGCTCACCAGGCTCAGATGTGCTCAATAAACATGCAGTGCGTCGGAGTGCTACAGCAGGAAACAGAATTATGAGCCATTTCCTCTGCTCTCCTGTATGGGCACAACAAAAATACACACTGATGTCAGCCTGCATGGGCTGCTGGTGGAGGTGGACACAGACGGAGGGAAATCAGCAGCTGCTGGCGATGGAAATTAATCTAAATGGAGATTTCAACATAGAAATTGAACACACACACACATATATATATATATATATACTCCATTCAGAGTATAGAAATCAGATGGTTATAGATGGATTTCAATGAACCCGTTAAAAAGCATGAAGACTCATCACATCACAGACTTGGCTTCAATTTAAATAGAAGGAAAACAAACCTCTGTGCACACACGTGCGTGCGTGCATGCGTGCGTGTGTGTTGGCCATTGTCAGAAGAGATGACACGGATGTTTGGTGACGCCGTTGCTGGGTTCGCTTTGGGTGGGAGGGAGGGGAAACCGTCAGAGAGGAGAGATGAAAAGGGGGAACTATTCTGAGGAGCTGTGGTTCTGCGATGTGGACATCTTTCTCGTCCTCTGATTAGAGACCAGCGATCTGTGCTGACCTTAAGGATCTGGCAGTCGCTCGGGAGTGCACGAACATGTGTGTGTGTGTGTGTGTGTGTGTGTGTGTGTGTGTGTGTGTGTGTGTGTGTGTGTGTGTGTGTGTGTGTGTGTGTGTGTGTGTGTGTGTGTGTGTGTGTGTGTGTGTGTGTGTGTGTGTGTGTGTGTACACGAACTGTGTGTTTCTATTTCAGAGTCATACAGTTTTTGAATCAGGATGTTTGCTATTACATCCAAGTCTCTCTTTGGGTTGTGAGTCATTGAAATAGCCTTTTTTGGTTGTGTGTGTGTGTGTGTGTGCGTTTCATAAGTAAGTCTACCCTAACAGATCTGCCTGTCCTGTGGCTATGTCACTCTGTCCTTCCTGCAGTGTCCTCCCTACCAACCAGTCTGGCTGCCAGCCATCACTGCCTGGTCGTGACATTTACCTGAACACAGAGCCTCGTTTCCACCACAGACTCCCACAAACAAACGCACCAAGAGGAAATAAGTCATGCAAGGAGAACACAATTATTTAAGGAATGTGCCCGACATTTCTTTAATAGAGCCGTTTCCGGTGGGGATAAAAGGAAGCAAATCTCAGGACACGACGCTGAGAAATGCTGCAGCGTCATGTGAGAGCAAATTCAAAATCAACAATGGAACTCTGATAGTTTGTTGATCAACAAAGAACAGGATACCTTCGTCAGAAAGAAGAAGTTTGAAAAATAGCAATATGGTTGCTAATGAGGCGCTGAAATGCTGTTGCAAACACATTTGATTTTCCTCAACTTCACAGCATGATGGAGCCAAACTGATTAGGAGGATCCTAATTTGATGTCTGAATCAGAATAAAGGTGGCATGGGGCCTTGCTGCAGAGGCAACAACACTTCAGCCAAAAAGAAGCAAATAAAATGTAAACGTGTTGATCGTTACATGGCTTGCTCATTTTTAGAACATTTTCCATTTCTATTTTTAAACCATCATTATTGCAAAACTACTGGTAAATTCAGTTTCACTAGGATGGAGTTGGAGACACAAAACTGCAGGAACTTCTGCAAACTTTTAGGTGGATTCTGAGTTGAGCAGAAAATCAGGTGACTGCAGTATTAATCTTGGATATTATCATGAAGATATTTGTTGCAATAAACCCACATTTTCATCTACCCCCTTTATGCATTTTATCAATATACTTTCTGGGTGTTTCTAACACACACACACACACACACACACACACACACACACACACACACAGATTGTGGCAAGACATTTAATGAACGACCCAGTCATGTGTCCTTTAAATTTACTTTTTGTAATTTTTTTACCTGAAATTCTTTTAATATTTTAATGGGGACATATTATGCTAAACACACCTCCTGCATCGTTTTGTGCTGCCGTGTGGATCTCTGCCGCCTCTATAAACACTCCAAACTTGTGCACTCGTTTTCCGTCAGTGTTTGGTTTTAGGATTTATGTGTATAAAACAAGCCATTTCGAAAAGTCCGTTTTTGTGATGTCACAAATGGGTAAATTAGAATAGAACCGCCTCTCAGGTGCAAGAGAGAGCTGCTGTTGGAGGAACAGCGGCTCTACTCCGAGCCCCTTCTGGATATTGAAGCATCTCCGCTTATCTCACCCTGAGCAGGTGATAGTGGGCGTGGCCAGATTGAGCTCTTAAAATGACAGAGTCCTGAAACGGCTCATCCTGGATACTTTTTAAACAGCCGAGACTAAACTGCAGATTTTGCTTTTTGTGAGAGAGATTTATGCAAAAATACTTCATCATCATGTTTGATATAGACCAAAGAAGTGTTATAACTTAAGAATGTAAGTTTTAACATGTCCCCTTTAATATAATCTAAAATACACAATAAAGCCAGTTCCACCTATTAATTTAACAGAGAGTTTTTAGATGGACTTCTCAGAGGCTGAACCACAGGTTCGCTAAAGCAGCAACGCCCAAAGGCACTACAGCAGTGACAATGAAGGACGTCCTATGCTATCCTCACCTTCTGCTGCAGGACAGGAAAGTGACACACTGACCTTTTGGGTCATTAGCCCTACAGAGGAATTGCTTTAACTTGAAAAAACTTGAAAAACCGGGATTTATATTTGTTGTAAGTTTCAGATTTCATTGCAGTTTATTCCTGAGGATACAGTATAAAGGAGATGGAATGGCACACAAAAAGGTCATTTAAGGAGACCTGGGATGCTGAATTTTTTCCCCTTTCCAATTCTGAACCTAATATTTCCGAGATCAATGTTTCCATTCAGCTTCACGACTGAAAGACCAGCATTTAAAAATACCAAATCAAATATAATAATTCATACTACGATGGGCAGGAACAATGTCTGACACGTGTGTGTGTGTTAAAACAAGGGAGAAATCTGTAGGCCTCGTCTCTGTGTGTGGACATTTAGGTGCCGTATGCTGAAGCCATCAACACATGCAGCCTTTAGAGCGTTATCTTTTCTCCGATCGTGTCTTGCAGTGGTTATTACAGACACGGACAGCACGACAGTGAACAGAGGGAGTGCTGCTTTTCCCCCCCTCGTCGTCCCTCTGTGTTTGTGTAACGAAGTTGAGCCTTTTCCGGTTATTGTGCGAGGGCAACAGGAGGGGTTCAGGCTAATTGCTGGAGTCTGGCAGAACGGGCAGCCGGAATATCTGGGACACGCAGAGTTTGGACAGGCTGTAATCTGTTGGTGGAGGATAGAAGAGGGCTCAGAGTGCAACACACACACACACACACACACACAGTCCACTGGGGTTACATTTATGAATTTGAGTGGATAGACTGCCTGACCAGAGGCAACCAATATTTTCCACCTCAGTTATAAGAAGCAAACCGGATGCACATTAGATTAGAGCCGGAAAATCTGGTGAGTTTGGTGCTAAAAAGCCACACAGTGAGTGACAATAAGCTCTACGAACTCTGCAGCCACAGCCAGAGGAGAAAGAGAGCTGGAAAATGAAAGATAGAAGAAAAAAAAACAAGTAGCAGAGTTTGAAGGTCTCTAATCCATAAAATCCAGGTCACATTTATCTCCCATCTCAAACACTCAAGGACAAGTTCAAATAGAAGCCTCGCCCCTTCTGCAACCACTCTGGATCCCACTTCAGTCAAAGGACGGGACAGCCTGGGAGGAAGTGGGAGGAAGGGATGTGAAAGGACACAAGGTTTTGACCTAATGTTGTGCAAGGGACGAGGGGAACAGAGCTGGAGAGAAGAAATGCTGGGAGATGAGGCCAGGAAGAGCGGGGGTGGGTGGGGTGGGGGGGGGGGGGTATGGAGACCCATAAATAGAGTGACGAAGGGAAGGAAGAAGAGAAAAAAAGGCCTTGAGCAGGGAGGAGATGAGACAACCCGAATGAGACAGAGAAGGTGAGATGAGCACGTGTCACTGTCAAGGAAAATACCTCCCTCTTCCGACTCACTCATCCCAGCCTCGTTAGGGGAGGAGGAGGAAGAGCAGGGCATGTCTGAGATGGAGTAGAAGGGATGGGAAAGCAGCAGAAAGTCTAAAAGAGGCATCAGAATTGTTATGAGAGGCTGAAGGGGCGGGGAAACGGTCACAGGGAGGCAGGAATGATGGAGTAGGGGAGGAGGGACCTCCCGTGGATCATCATCTGCCACATCCACCCAACTGCGTGCTGTTACACCAGAGTGTTGCTCCTAATTCCTAATCGCTGCTAATCCCTCCACCACCCATCATCTCTCTTTCATTCCCTCCCCTCGTTACACAACAGCCTCCTCCACACAATTAACCCTCTCAGGCTCAAAATAAGTTTTGATAAAAGGACGAACAACTAAGTCCTTCGGGGGTACTTCTGAGTTAAAAAAATGCTCATGAAATACGTATGTAGAGTAACCAGGTAGGTAGGTTTTAATATTGCAGATCTGCAACGCCTGCCTCCAGAGGGTTAAAGCCGCAGCGCCTCTGATCACCATAGTAAATCTCCTGGCTGTGGCTTTAATTAAAACCATCTACAAAATAAATACAGAACGGAGTCTGAATCTTTTTCATGTAGCAACAGAGGGTCATGTTCTCGCTGGATTATTTCTAGATCATCACAATTGCACAACTACAATGTGACGAGCTAAGATTCCAGAAACATTTAAACCGGTGTAAACTTTAAATATATAGTTAAAAGGAGAAAATAAAACAACTGAAAAACAGGTTTTCCTGAAAATGACCATTTTGTGTCTAGTGGAACAGTTAAAATGTGGAAAAGATGAATAACTATTTTGGAAAATAAACATTTCAGTAAAGATTAATCTGACTCATTTACAAGTAGCAAAGTTTCCTAAAGCCTGTGAAACTAGTCTAAAATAAAGAATAGATATTACTGAATAAAATAATTAGACTGTTATGTACAAAATGAATTAAAGTAACTCTAATGTCAGAAATTATTGAGTACCAACAAATCCAGCCACTCCTTTACAAAAACACCAAATAAGTAGATACATTTGATTAAAGTTGAGTAAACTAGCTCAAAATACCCAGCGAAGAACCACTGAAGAAGAAAAATAATGATTTTAATCCACCCGAGTATGTCAAAACTTTACAAAACGTAGGGGGAAACGTTATAAACAAACAGCATCCAGTAAAAACTGCAGTCTTGTGATGTGACACAAACACACTGACATTAGGATAAAAACATGTTACCTAACGAGTTCAAGTGGACCTAATTCAAAAGGAAACCTTTCTTCTGTCATTACAAAACTGAACTTTTCACAGCAGCACGGCTCCTTGGTCAAAAAGGTACCAAGAAGACCTTCCGACAGTTCAGGCCAGTTTGTCGTCTGTGAAAACCGCTGAAGAATTATGGAATAATAAAACAGTACCACCCCGAGCTCCTGGCGGCAAGAATCCTAAACTGAGCATCAACATGTTATCTCCACAAAGTTCTCCTTTCTTTCTTTATGTTCACATTCCCATCAGTTTTTCCTCCACTCTGTTCGGGGTTAAAATAATAGCGTCTGCCACTGTTATCAATAAATCACCAACTACTTCCTCTCTTACATAAATTGTCAGATAGCTTCAATAAAGCTGCCATTGCTGATGGTTATTTAGCTGAAATACAGAACTGAGCACTGCCGGTGTGTGTGTGTGTGTGTGTGTGTGTGTGTGTGTGTGTGTGTGTGTGTGTGTCTGTGTGTGTGTGTAGATGGGGATGTCACGGCTCTCTGCTGAGCAATTAATCGAGTAAAGTGAAGCAGCCCAGGTTTTACTGACAGCTGTGTGTGAACTGACCAGAGAGGAGGTCCCCGTTGCTGTAGGCCTTGCCGCGTCCCTCCTCATCGTTGGGCACGGCCGACACCTGCTTGGCCGAGGTGCAGCCCATGGCCTCAATCTCTGACACTTCTCCTCATCGCACTCGCACCTGGATGAAAAAAAAACAAGTGAGCGGACCTTTCAGATGTTGATCACTGTTGGAACGGGTCTTGTTCCATTTTCTGCACAAACACAAAGCCTCAGAAAAATAAAACATTTATCTGAAACAAAAAGAGAAAAAGAACGTTTGACAGGAAGAGTGGTCAAACAAGAGTCGACATCAGAAAAGCGTTTTCTGAATGGCGAGAGCTCAGAGACGATCATTCAAATTGGATGTAGACTTCATGATCATGCTATTGGGCTTATAAGCATAACTTTAAAGGACCTGTATCATGCTACTTTACACATTTCAGAACAACAACAGGTATACTATGTGATAAAATATTATAAAATATTATTTTTTTATGTTATTTCTATGTAAGTTATTTTCTTGAACCATTACTTTTACCTGGAAAAAGACGCTTGGATTTGATGAAACTGACTCCCCTGTTTGAATTCCACAATAGTACACAGTTGCAGACCCGGAGACCGCAGATTCGTGCCCACGTACACAAACACCACTCAAACAAAAGGCAGCTGAGATGGTAGCAGATTCCCAGCCTGTCCCAGACGCTCAGCTCATCCACCAAACTATAGCAATTCGGCGAGTGGTTGGTTGCACTCGCAGCTCTGGCCTAGCCATCGGGTGGTTTTAACGTTGGATTGGTGTCTGTGTGAAGAAGTAATGCATCTGGTGGTGGTTTAACAAGCAGTCTGTGAAATCAGTCATATTCTAGCTCAGTTTTCTTTTAGAGTTTCTGAAGATAAAATCCAACCATTTCTGTTGATTCTGCAGGAAGATTGGACAGGGATCCTGTTCCTCTTGCAGACTAAAATCCATATGCATTATTTAAAGTGCAGAATAAATAAGAAAGAAACAACTTCTTCACAATTGTGGGGATTAAACTGCCTGCTAGCTACATGTAGAGACTGGGCTTATTGTTTACAGTCCAGGGAGGAGGATTCTGGATTTGAGGCTACCTAGCCGGGGGAAAGCGGGCTGTTGTGATGCAGCAACAACCCCAACAACCCCAACTCATTTGAAGACACAGACAACAAAAGATGATTGGGCCTATAAAACTGTGACTGGTGTTTAGCACCATCTCGTATCCTCTGGCAATGCACGTTTCCGGTTCCGGTGGAAGTGTCACAGCGAAGACACCTGAGGGGAGGGGTGAGAGGACCACTGTCATGTTTGCGTTGAAAACGTAGCTTGTTTTCAAATTCACGATAACAGTTTTAATGTGTGGTCAGCTGGTTTGAAAACACAGGCGCACAGCGAGGGGGAGGGGGAAACAACAATCCTTCAAAATGAACACTAGGGGATGTTAAGGCAAGCCAAAACCATCTGATGTCCCAGTAAAGTATAATGGGTTTAATGTATTGTTGAGCAGGTAAAGATATAAAATCCATCACAATAAATTAACTAAATGATGGCAGTGACTGATAGTTTTGATTATTGAGTGAATAAATAGGCACATTGTTCATGGAACTGTAATATGGAAATGTAATATATTATAAAGAATTTATTACATTACAGGAAAACAATGCCGAGTCAGCATTCACACAATGGACTACACTTAACACTTTATTATTGTCTTGCTAGCAAATGACAGTAAAACTTTCCCACCCAGCAGGACAACTGACACAAAGCTGTGAACATCACTGTCAGTCAGTCTCACACTCAAACACATCACGCTGTCGACGGTCGCCGTGTCACTCACTCACGCACGCCGTCGAGCTGTCATTGTCAGCTCCCGTCTGGCTGCTGCCTGCGAGGAAAGCTGCTCACAGATGGGGCAGATGATGGTTACCCATGAACAAAATTAAATGTGGAGAGCTGCAGCATAAGTGAGAAGAAGAGGAGGATGAGTGCTTTTTGAAAGCAGACAAAAGGAGGCAAGGGTCAAGAAAAGGATGGACAATAGGAGAAAGATGAGTGCAAACCTTCAAAAGCATGCCGCCTCTCCCTCCTCCCTCCCTCAGAGTGTTTGAAGTGAACAGAAGGATGGTGCTCTCTTCTGTGTGGAGGTCTCTTCCTCCTAGGACAAAGCACCAGGTGTGCATGTAGCGACTGACACCTCCACCCCCACACAGAAACTATTAGACTTTCTGATAAAGATATTAGGCTAATGAGAATATTTTTGCACTGCAGCTGTATTAGGAGTGCAAAACAGGACGAGGGAATGCACACATGAAGTTAATCTCTAGGGCTCCATACGCCATTACTCATTCAAGGGCCCACAAGCGAGACAGAGCTGCACCCAGGGACCAAGAATCAAGACAGGAGCTGGTAAAGTTTTGTGGCGAGAGCCTGAGCAGGAGTCTGAGTCTCCAGAGCTCCCCTCTGTCTGCTCCAGGCAGACTGGGACACCTCTTACTACAACTCTGGAAACACTCAATTATGCCGCACACTCACACAACCACACACACACACGATCCTTACGCAGTCTGTAAAGACAGAAATAATCTCATCAAGTATAATCTGCCTCTCCCGAACGAGGATGCTGCACCAATCAATATGAGCAAGGTGAGCAGGTATTAACGCGCCATCACAGATGAGTGCAGCGCGATGATGCAGGGAGCAAAAAAGACGTTAGAGGAGAAAAAGCAAATGGTGCAAACGGAAGAGTGAGACGGCTTTTTACTCTGAGCAGTAAATGCTGAACTGAAGTGAATATTGAATCAGCAAAGAGCAGAAACTCCCCGATGAAATCCGGAGGAGAAAGGGGAGGAGGTGCATTGAGACGCCGAGTTCAGAACTGACAGATCTGAAGATTTCAAAAGGGTCTCCGGTGTGTGTGGGCAGCATCTGTTTAAAGAGCTTTTGATTTGTTTGTCTTGAAACACCAAATTGTGAATAAGAGCGGGGTAAAATTAGACCCAGCAGAAGCGGCGCTGTTGTTGTGTGCAGGGATAATGCTAGGCTATGCGGATCCACAGGCTGCTATTACTTGGGTTACAGCTAGTAGGCGGACTATTACAAAGCCATATACACCTATAAATATACACTAGAGAGGCCTGTAAAAAAAAAGACAAGGGGTCACTGAGTTTTTAGTGGCATGAAAAATGTTGAAATTTTAAATGGTCAGAAAGTTGAATAAGTTTGACTTTTTTCTTCTGGAACAATCATCACAAGATTCGTCATTTTCAAGTGTCTTTCTGTGTAAAACTTCCATATTACTCCAACTCCTTGCAGATACCTTGCCATCTTCAAACACCTCAGCAAATCATAGTTCAGGCACTATTCTTTTTTGAATTAATATTTTTGCACAAATAACCAATAAAGAAGACATGTCATAAGACAAGTTATAATAGCTCGATGTTAGATACAAAACACGTTAATAAAGATATTTACACTAAATCCCTCGCACATAAACTGACCTCAGGAGTTCCAGAATGAGCAGTCTCTCTTTTAAAACGTCACTTTTAAAACTAAGGCCCTGTCCACACGTAGCCGGGGATCTGCCAAAACGTAGATATTTTTCTACGTTTTGGCCTGTCATCCACACGAAAACAGAGTTTTTTCACACGAAAACGGATCTTTTTAAAAACTCCGGCCAAAGTGAAGATCTGTGTTTTCTCCGTTTTGGGTGTCTGCGTGTGGACAGACAAAACCGGAGTTTTGAGGTCTGCAACGTCACTTTCCACGACAAAAAAATGCTGACATCACGTGTGCGACCTGTGTTTACACTAGCCGACAGCATGGATGCCCTCAGAGCTGCGCTCGCTTTATCAATTGTCCAAGCGCTTTTTGCTTGTTTGTTTTTGCAAGCGGAATTACTGCTCCTTGCGGAAGACCACAGACGAAGGACGAGGTTACGAACAGGGGAAGTACTGCCGCCTACAGGTCTGGCATGTCCTTAACAACGTATTTATCCGGGTACGTGTGGACAGAGTTTATTTTTTTAAACGAGGTGGTGTGGATGCAAGTTTTTGGAGGGGCGGATATTCATTTTTTAAAAAACCCGGCTACTGTGTGGACTAGGCCTAAGGAGGAGCTGGCCACGCCCATCCATCCCCCAATCAAGTTGCTATAAGCTGGGAAGCTCTGATACCTGGGAGGGGCTCTGAGTAGAGCCGCTAATCCTCCAGCAGCAGATCTCTCTCACACACACACGAGAGGTGGTTCTGTGCTATATTTGGCTTGTTTTACGCACATAATTCCAAAAACTAAATGTAACCGGATTACAGGATACAATAAGATAATTAAAAGAAAAATTAAACAAATGGGCCAATAATTAGGTTCGGGGAGAATTGGAGGTTGTTTAAGAATGACTGGAGTCACGGGTATAGCATGAAACGGTTTATATACTAAATTTTAATAATAATGGGAAATATAACACATAAAGATAACACACAAAAACAGATGAAAACAATCGACAATAGTAAAATGGTCGGTATGAGATTTGATCATATGAGTCACAAGTCAGCCGGCGTCAAGTCAAATCCCCACGCTTGGGGTGAAAGTCAGAGTCCGGTGGTGCGATTTTTTCCTACCGCACCGTTGAGATTGTTCACAGAAGAGAGCAGTCTGCTCTTCAGTTACTTGAGATGTCCTGGTTCGTTCAGTGGTTAAGGCTCGCCATCTCCCTCGTCAGGAAGAAATCCAGTTCTCGTTCCAAGTGAGTGATCATAGGAGTCGGGATCAAACCCAAGGAAAAAAAAAAAACCCAGCCTGTAAACAACAGGACTGTTAGCAAGTTGGCATCGACCCTTCTCGTCACATCACAGCATAAAGTCTTACAGACTTAAACAAATGCTTCACTCTATTGGCATAGCCAATCATGTTTGGGTTCACAGTTCAACTAACATAACATCAATTTGATTGTCTATTAAAATAATTCTCAGTAGCTCTGGAAATATAATTACATATGACAACAATTGTTCAGCTCAATAGGCTCAGTTAGATTCTATTACTCTACACTATTCGACAAGAAATACATTCATGACAACAAGGATACATTTAGTTGTGTTTCTATACAGCATTGTGACACCTTGTATATCTGT